AGACAAGGGGCTGGACTGGCCCCCAGGAGGGACCCCCTGCCCAGGCTCCCCATGGGCCTCCCGCTGATCCTGTGGAATGCAGACCCCCCTGAGGGCACCCCCGGGGGCAGGAGGGCCTGCACGAGGCCTTCCAGAGGGACAGCAAGGGTCCCCGGTCCCTCCTCACAGGCGTCTGCCCACCTGTCAGGGCCCAAAGGCTGTCCCAGCCTCCCTCTCACAGTGACCTAAGGGGCTGAGGAAGGAGTCCTTTAGGGTGAGACCCTGCAGGGACCGAGAGTAAGGGACCGATGGCCATGGCTGTGGGGGCGGGGGGACCCAGTCAGGGAGGGCCGGCACCCCAAAGGGGAAGACCCGGCCGAGCACAGTGACACAGAGATGGAAGAAAAGGAGGGTGAGGGGCGTGCGGGGCGTGGGGGCCGCTGGGGAAGACAGGGAGGGGAGCCCAGGGGCCGGGCTGGGAGAGGGGGCTGCCCGCCACAGTGCTGGCCTGGAGGGGATGCAAGTTGGGGCCAAATGGCAGGAGACAGCGCTGCTGAGGGGCCTGGCTCCCCTCTCCTGTGCCCCGCTCCCCTCTGGGCCCTGGGTCCCCACGGCCGCCTGCTCCAGACGGCACCACCTCACACAGCAGGGCTCATCCGGGGTTGGGTGGTGGACAACCCACAGCCTGGGAGCCAGCGCGTCCTCTCATGGACAAGAACCCGGTCCCACCCTGAGGGGCGGCTCTGGGGACGCCCCATAAACATGGCTGTGCTCAGGGTTGCCTTAGAGTCATCTTGTGCGGCAGAGGGAACAAGACTGTCCGCGAGACTCCTGCCTGGAACACAGGGACAGGAATAGGGACCCACCGTGCTGTGTGACAGTGAAGTGACCAGGGCTTAGGATACGCCTGAGATGGTTGTTCTCTGACACACGCCTTCGCCAGTGCAGAACAGAGAGGCTCCATCTGGGTCCATGAATCCCCCAGTCGGCAAATACTCCATCGGCCTTGCGCCGCCAGGAGCAGGGAAGCCGAGCTGGGTGGGCAGCGTTGGGGTCTCAGTAGGGCGGTCATGGCTGGATCAGCACAGGCCCAGTCCCTGGTCAGGAGTTTTCCCTGACACGGAGGCCCCTCCTCCCCATGGGGCTCCTCCTGTCTGCCTGGTCCCGCCCCTGGGCCAGGCCGCTCCCCATGACTTGCAGACAAGCTCCCTGGGTCGGTGCCCTCACTTCCGGGCATCTTCCCCTTATGCAGCTGCAGCCGTGCCACGGAGTGTGCGTGTCCCCAGAGAGGACTGAGGCACAGCCACGTGACGAGATGGATTGAGCAGGGGCTCCCTTCCCTCGCCTGACACTAGCATCTACATTCGGGGGCGTGTGCCCTGGCCAGGCTCAGCCATTTAATGCCCAAGTCTCTCCCGAATTTACCAGTCTCAGAGTAGGGAGTTATTGCCTAGCACACTTTGTCCGGAGGCAAAGTCCTTGTTCCCTTTTCCTGAGGTTTCTGGGGCAGGTGGTCTAAGTTCCAGAGTCATTCCTGGGGCTGTGCAGATCCGTTGCTTGCACAGAGAGAACTTTCTATGACCGGCTACAGGGTGTTAGATCAGGATGGGCAGAGTGGGGCAGAGAAGGACACTAGGGAAGCCCAGGTTTTTAGCCTGGAGGGACATGGGGGCTCGGCCTGGGGCAGTGCAGAGTCCTTGTGGGACACTTCAGGGCAGACGGAGGGACTGTGACAGAGCCAGACCGCAGGGAAACGTCTGCAGGGTTTCTGGACAGCATGAAGGCCGGTGGAGGGACAGGTGAGGACCAGGGAGGGACAGGGTGGGGGCCGGTGGAGGCCCCCAGTGAGGGGACAGGATCACGTGTCACCTGGAGAGCTAGGGGAGGACCCTCAAGGCCACGGGGCCTGGAGTCGTGGTGTGGGAGGGTCCAGACCCTGGGGTGCCAGCAGAGCACGAGCAGTGATGAAGGCCGTGGGCCCTATTACCTTTGACTTTGAGAAAAGCAACAAGCAATTTGGAACCTATGTAACTAAAACAGTATTCACATCACCTGCTGCCCTACACCTTCACCTGCTCGGTCTGCCTCTATGCCGGGAGACAGTCCAGGAACCTCCATCCGGGTCCCAGAGTGACCCGCTGAGCAGGCTCCGCACCGGCCCTGGGGACCTTGGCCCCGGCGCTTCTCTCTGACGCCACCACCCTGTCCCGTTCGCGGGACGACGGTTTCTGCATGATCCAAATAGGAGTCGGGTTCCCCAGGCCGTGCCTGGCTGGGAAACATCAAGAGGGGGCGGCACCTGAACTTGGCACTAACAGGACATCTTGGAGACACACAGGTGACATGGCACCCTCCCCCCAAGGGGGGTGGTTATCTGTGCTTCCTCCTGCGGGACAGATATCTGCATATCCTTAACATTTAAACTGCAGAAAGTCCTGGGTGTTTACGCAGCACAGGGTCTCTTGCTCTGATTGTAAAAGGGGAAGTGAGGGGGCTTCTCGCAGAGGGAGAGGCTGGGCAGGGCAGCGGGGAGAAGAACAGCGAGCCGAGCCCTCATCTTCCGAAGACGGGAGGCAAGGGGGGCCCTGGGCGGTGGACTGATGGAGAAATGGAGCTTAAGCTGCAGACGGAGGAGCTGAGGGTCAGGGCACAGCGATGTCCCTTCGAAGCTGGGAGCAGGGAAGGGGAGGCCCATGGTGCGGATTCTCCGCGTCAGAAGCCATGTCCGACGCCGCGGGTCCAGACCCAGCAGTCCAGGTGCCGCTGGGAAGCCCGGGAAGGACCCTGAAGTGCAGCCAAGTGGCCAACGGTGGTGTCGGGCTGGTCTGGAGCCACAGGAAGAAAGACACTACTCTGGGTGCGGTTTGGGGTGTCTGTCCCTGTGATTTTGTGAGGCCGCATCCTGACGTTAGGGCCTTCTCGTTCCCTCTGGACAGGGACTCAGGCTCTAGAAAATGCTCCGTAATGAATGTCACAGGAAACACTCGACCTAGAGCGCTGGATAAATGTGATAGGAATCCCCAGGAAAGCAGTGACTGCTTCCCCGTGGCCCTGATTGTTGAACTTGTACACATGGCACATGGACTCACGTGCTTAGAGAAAGGACTGAGGGAGCCTGTGGAGCCCGGTGATGAGGCAGCGTGTCCTGGGCTCGTGGGCCTGAAGCAGCGTGGGGCCACCAAGGAGACCAGGGAGGGGATTTGAGGCAGGACGTGGCCAAAGGGAAGAGGCTCCTCCCCATGGTCCAGGTGAAACCATGGAGCAGAAGCCCCCAGGTAGCTGAGGCTTCCAGAACCCGGGAGCTCACCGGCATCCGGGCTGCGGGAGGCGCAGGGTCTCAGTGAGCCTGTCTGCGGGGACTCACCTTGGGTAGCAGGCGGCCCAAAAGATGAGGGACAAGCGGCCTGTGAAGCCCACACCCCCGGCCCCATGCGGCGCGTTGGCCTGGTCCCCCGGGAGAGGCGCGCTGAACCTCAGGACCCGTCGGGCAACTGCCCCCCTCCCGGGCCACTTAGCTGCCAGTCACCTGTGGCCGAAGGTTCCTCTGTGAGCAGGTGGCCAGCCCGGCCGGCGCTGTGTGTGCCGTGTGGCCGGGAGCTGCGTGCCTGGGGCCGGCCGCCTGGTGAAGGACGCACTCTTCTCTGGATTGTGGCAGAAGAATTTGCAGCGCTCGCCTGAACAGTAGCCTCTGATGATATGAGTCTGGATGACGCCTGCGAACGTCTCGATTCCTCCATCTTGATGGCTCTCCTCTCCGTTTTCGGTTGCCGTTTGTCTTCTCCAATGTGCCCGAGTGTTGGCGATTCCCTGAACTCCGGGTGGGGTCCCGGGCCCCTCAGCTGTGCTCCCCTTGCTCAGCAGGGGGCGGGGGCAAGGACCAGGGCTGTCCCCACGCGTATTCTCATGTCACAGGCTCCCCTAACACACAGGACTTGGGGGCGGGGGTTGTTAATGATGCTTTCCTCAATATAAATAAGTAGAATTTCATGCATATAATTAAAATAAAATGTAGAAGTTAAATTTTTTTAAAAATGAAGAAAGAAAGAGAGAAAGAGAGAGAGGCGTCCCACCCGCCCTACGTGCAGCTTTGAGCTGTTCACCCTCCCCCTGTACGATGACCCCAGGTTAGCTGGTCTCCCACAGGCCCCTGGGCTGGAGCCTGGGGTCACCTCGACTCTCTTGGCTGCTCCTCCAAGTTCTTGCTCTTTCTGCCTTTGATTCTGTAGGTCCCTGAGTGTGACCAGACACCATATGACCTGGGATCACAATATGGCTCCCGCATGGTCAACCTGAACTCAGTCCGAGGCAGGGAGAAGTGAGAATAAGCAGCATTTAGTGAGTTCAGGCTGTCCCCCAAGTTCTGTGCCTCGGGCCTCAGTGGACCGAGCGGCTGTTAGAAACCTCTGTCCCCTCCGGCCCGGCAGTGAGGATGAGTCCTTCCCAGGTGCCCTGAATCAAGGAGGAAACAGAGGCTCTGGGGTCAGAGGTCACAGCTGGGGGCTGTCCCATGTGCGGATGTGATCAGCCCATGGGCCCCAACTCTGAGCCTGGGAAGGTGAAGAAAGCCTGAAATCGTGCACCAAGATTTCTTTGCGAGTAGAGATGTGTATGCACTTATACCAGCAACATCCTTATCTCAGCTACAGTGTTCAAAAAGAAAAAAGAAAAGCGCTCCCATGTTCACGAAGAGGAAGTTATACAGTCTCCTACCGGAAACTATTACTTTTCAGAAAGGAAGTCGGCTTGTCCTTGAATTTAACAGACAGAACTTTCCAAACAATCTAAATCACTCCCGTGTCAAATTATAAGCCCACCATTAAAATGCTTTCCTAAATGTTTCTGTAAGGGAAGTTTTAAATGTGTATGCCCAGTGTCCCGTCCCTGACTTACAAAATGGAGAACAGATAGCCAAAGTTGGCCCTGTGCCCCATATCTCCTGTCAACTGGAATGTTCGGGAAAATCAGTCCCTCCGACTTCCTGCACAGAGCTAAGCCCAGGAATATTCTTGTGTTTCTTCTGCTTCACTTTGCTTAATTATAATTAACGTTTTTGCTTAATTATCTTTACATCGAAGACAATAGGGTGTAGCCATCAAAGGAGTGGGCTGTGGTCACAGATGTCCTGGGTTCAACACCCAGCTCCTCCTCCTCCTCCTTTGTGGTCTCAGCTGAGTGTCTAACCCTCTCTGTGCCTCAGCACTGAACTCAGGAGAGCTGAAACAGTAAAAAGGGGAACACAAGCACAGCACTGGCCTCAGGACCAGCCTGTGTACTGCAAATCACCTGCTGCCCTGCCCTGGAAACCATATTGTGCTCACAGTTGGGGGTCCGCTTTCGCCCACACGTAGCATGACAGACACATTTCCCCAAGTCTTCAAATGTGGCATAAAAGGAATGCACACTCTTCAGATATTGAGACAACGGCATCAATATTCAGAAGGATGCGTCGTAGTCTATGTGTGGATAAGCCCCAATTCAGGACTGGGTATGCCAGGCCCCTAATGGGTATGCCAGGCCCCTAATGGAGCACATTCAGGTTCTTTCCCAATGCTCGGTATTATCAAGAAAGCTGTGGCGCCAAGTTCTAGGAATGCTCTGGCATTCTGGACAGAAGGTTGTAGGAAATCCCAGAAGCACTGGATGCTGAAGCCTGGTACACTGTGACAGACTTCCCTGCGAAAACCTGCTTGGAGCGCCTCTCCCCCAGGAGACCCAGAGACGCGCCTGGTGAGACCCCCGGCCACGTCCCCCTCACTGGGGTGTCCTAACAGAAGACAACAGGATCACCCCGCGGCTTGGGAGGAGATCAGTCCCAAACCAAGTCCTGGCCACTATTCTGGAACAAAATCCCCATGATACTCAGCTCAGATCACTCCTGATGAAGGCCCCACCCTCCATAGCTGGGCTCAGCGGAGTTACCCAGTTAGGGGGTCCCATGCTGGCCACATAAAGCGCCTCCCTAAGGGAGAAGGAGTTCATGTCGGGACCTATGGGGTCAGAGGTCATGGGCAGGGGAGAAGCCCCCTGGACAGGGGGACAGAGGATTGGTGGCCTGGGGCGGGAGGCCTGGGGACAGTCATCACACAGACGAGGGCCTGAGAGAGGGGGCGGACGTTCACTGGGTCTCAGGGCTGACCATGTTCCCAACTCCAACAGAGAAAAGCGTGAGATGTGGCCACAGGGAGCAGCTGAATTCAGGGCAGTTTGGCCTGAGGGCTCCCAGCAAAGGCGACGATAGCTTCCCAAGCTGGCATCAAGTGGTTGGAGACAAAAAAAAGCACCTGCCTGGACCCCAGAAAGCCTTTTGTAACCCTCCTTTTTTCGTCCCCTCTCTGGCTCCAGATACCTGGTGTCCCCGGAGTGTGTAACTTTCACGGACAGGTGGCACGAACCTTCCCTAACGCTGCCTTCCGGCGCAACTGGCCAGTGACGCCCGTCTTCCTTCTCCTCGATGTCCTTCATAGCCGCGCCAGGCAGGGACAGGCCCCGATGTGGCTGATGTGCGGGGGAAGGGGGAAGCTCTCCGGTGAGCTTTTCGCAATCATATACCCAACCTGCCATCACACGGGGAACAAAGACGCTAGCAGCGTGGAGGTGGGTGGGGCCCCCCAAGATGGAAGGCAGTCCTGGGCGGCGCCCTCCGCTGGGGAGGCCGAGGCCAGACTGCGGGGCTTACAGACAGGCACACGGGGGCCTGTGGGATGGAGAGCTGGGGGTCACTGGGCCCCCGCCTGCCTCCTCCAGACCCCAATGTCCTCGAGGGCAGGAGGCCTGTCCCTTCCGTGCATCCCGCGTTCCTGCCGCGGTGGGCCCCGAGTGGGTGCCCCTGGGCCGAGGGGCACAGTTGGGACTCCGCCAGCCTTGCTTCCCTGCGCGCAGGAGCCTTGCCACGTGGAAGCCTGCACTGCTGCGCACTCCCGGAGGGCATCCTGGAGAAGCTGGAAGGGCATGGGCGCCAGGTCCCACGGTGCATTGCCCGGAGCCCTGGCTGTGAATGTGCCCAGGCCTTGCCCACGTCCCTGACTTGAGCCCAGGGACCTCGGTCTGTGGACTTTGTGGCCCGGACGCCACTACAGGGGGTCCCCGCACAGGGGCCAGAGCCGGGACCAGCCCAGGGCTGGGGGCTCCTCGGAGCGGGGGCTCCTGAGGGACAGCTGGCCAGCAGGGCCGGTGGGCAGTGCCCAGTCAGCCCCCAGAGGGAGGATTCCGGCCCACGCTGAGTGTGCGGTCTGGGTGCTGGCTTAGGACCGTAGGGGACACCGGGGACCATCTTGGAGTCTCTGTGAGGGCGAGGAGCTGGACAGGGGGTGTGTGGCGGCGCGGCCTCTGCTCCCTGCATGGAAACTGCCTGTCCCCTCTCCCGCCACGGGGTTCGCAGGATGCCGGCCAGACTCGGGGTCCCCAGGGAAGGCCCGCGGGTCCTGGAGCAGCCGCGGGCAGGTGCTGGCAGGCGTCCTGGTGTGAGAGGCCCTCAGCCCTGCACCCCCTCTCCCTCCCGTTTCACCCCTCACTGGCCCTTCCTCCCTTTTGGGAGACCCTCCTTTCCATAGGTTTTCCTTCTGTCCCAGGCTCCTGCTGGGTCTTTTCAGTGCCGGTGCCCACGTCAGCTTGTCTCTCCCCGGTCCTAGTTCCTCGTCCCCTGCCTGTGTCTCCCTCCCTCCCTTCTTCTGTATCTCATTACCTACTTCCCTCTCTCCCTGCCTCCTTCCATTTTCCTCCTTATGGATCCTTTGCTCCTCTCCGTTCGCCCAGTGTTTTATCTTCCTCTTTGATCCTGATTCGTCTTCCCCACTCCACTTTTCTCCTCTTCTCCCTCAGGGCTGCCTCTTTCTTCCCTTTGGAGCTTCACCTCTGCCTACTAGAGTTTTATCTCTAAGATCCAGCATGAATTAAGACCTTTAGCTTCTCCTTCCACCCTCTGGAACTTTCCTCTCCAAGATGACCTGACACGAGTCATCTCATATGACCATGGCCTGAAGAAGCCCTTCTTTGAGATGCTACCTTGGACCTTGAGGCACGCGCCTGGGTTACTACAGACTGCAGATGCCCCCCACCCTGTGTCCCTGTGTCTGGGTGCCTTTCTGGGTGCCTCAGGAGCATTTGGAGGCTGTTGTTTTTTCTTGCTCTTTTAGAGCAAGGAATGGCATCCTTTGTTCCCTCATTTTTATGTCCAACTGCTACTGAGTGGCTGCCACAGTCCACTTGTCCTGTGATGCCCAGCTCAGTCCATCTTGGAAAGATTGTGCACCTATTGAGACAATGAACAGAGACCCTGGTCCACTGCTCACTCAGTCTTTGGCTTAGCAGCTCTGGTTACAGGCTATGTCCTTGGCTTTCAACTGGGCCCTAGAAAAAGAGGACTCCTTAAAATAATGGTGGAGTATTTAGTTACCACAATAAGGAAAGTTATTGGGAATCCATTCTTAAGTATTTGAAAATTTGGGGGAGACGCCTGGGTGGCTCAGTCAGTTGAGCATCAGACTCTTGCTTTCATTCAGGTCATGATATCATGGTTCATGAGATCGAGCCCCGTGTCAGGCTCCAAGCTGAAAGTGAGGGGCCTGCTTGGGATTCTCTCTCTCCCTCTCTCTCTGCCCCTCCCCTGCTCACACACACACTCTCTCTATCTCACTGTCTATTTCAAAATAAATAAATAAAATCTATATTAAATAAAAAATAAATGTAAATATAAATAAATACATAATGTATTTTTAAAATTTTATTAGTATAGGCAAACACCCAAACAATTTATAACAAATAGAGTGAGAAAGAAAATCTCTTCTCCTATGCTTTCTGCCCATCACACCCGGCCCTCTTTACTAGTGTCCTGTTTCTTATAGTTGTAGATCATCAGTTCTCTTGGCTGCAGGGTGTTCCATCGGATGAGCACACTGCACCTCTTTTATGAGCTCTGCTGTGATGGGCACTAGCTGCGAGCAAGTGATTGTGGCAGAGCTCAGGAGGCCATGGGAGATGTAAGAGGAACTGAGGCCACAGAACCCAGTTTCACCAGAGCTATGCTCTTAACCCAGAACATCCCTCATTTACTCATTCAGTCAGTCTCTTCAATGCTTTCCAATCAGATATGGGTTATGATGTTGGTCCTAGTGTGTATTCTGTGATTACCAGGAAGGAGATGAAGGTGAGGTCTTTGTTTTAGGCAATTTTCAAGGGAAATCCTATCCACCACTCCCCCGCGCCACCCCACCCTTTATTCTAAGATTTGCCTCTACCAGCCTTCTCAGTTTCCTGTTAGCTAATAATGTTCCACAGCCTCATTCTGAAAAAAAATCTGCAAATCTTGGGGTGCCTGGGTGGTTCAGTCAGCTGAGTGTCTGATTCTTGGTTTTGGCTCAAGTCATGATCTCATGGTTCATGAGATGGAACCCCATGTATGGTTCCATGCTGATAGGGAGGAGCCTGCTTGGGATTTGCTGTCTCCCTTTCTTTCAGTCCCTCCCCCGCTTGTGTTCACTCTCTCTCTCTCTCATAAGAAATAAACTTTAAAAATCTGCAAATCTTCATAAATACAGAATAATGTAAGATAGAGATGAATATGTTCCTCCTTACCACTCCAGCAATTGAGGAAGAGAGCTCTTGCTATGTCATAGAATTAGTTCAAAGAACTAGTTCAATGAATCTGAATGCAAGATTAAAATCTTACATTCACAGAGGATCAGTCTTGATTTTCTCTGCTATTGTGTGAACACCAACAGCTATTACCAAGTAGTATAGAGTTGTGGTGGAAGGAGAGACTCTGGATCCAGCTGTCTAAGTTCCAATCCTTACTGTAGGCATGTAAAATGGAGATTATGATAGAACTCTCACCTAGGTGGTTGTGAGACTTAAATAAATTTGTTTAGATTTATATCTATATATATTCTGAAGAGTGCCTGACCTATAGTAAACATGATGGAAAGATTTGCTGTTACCTATTACTATAAATCTGTCTCTGAAAACAGCACTAAACATCATCTTGCAAAAGCTGTCTAACACCCATACACTGAAAAATACAAAACATTACTAAGAGAAAGCAAAGAAGATGCAAAAAGTAAAGAGATATACAATGTTCATGGATCAAAGTCTCCATATTATTAAAATGTTAATTCTGTAGATTCCATGTAATCCCAAATGCATTCTCAGGGTTCTGCCACCTTGCAATAGTTCTGTTGCATGGACTTGCGCAGGCTGAACTACATTTGCCTGAATTCCCCTTACCGTAGTCTTAGATTGGGATTAGATCACAAGAGAGGCTAGTCTGGCCAATTGAGTGGGAGGCAATGAAGAAGCAGCCTTTTCTAATGTGTTCTCATGTTGAGATACTGACTTGACTCACCTCCTAGGGTGTGAAGCCACAACTATAAGAATCTCCCCCACATCCTCCTTGAGCTCCTCCTACCCTGGAGTGAGGTGTGTTTTCTAGCTTTGTGGCGAAGGGAGTGTTAAGATAGAAAAAAACAGATATAAAATGGAATCATTTGCCCCCCACAACAGCAAGCCAAGACTTAATTACAGTTGCAATCACATCCTAAGAATGTGACCTTTTAACAATCAATCTGAAATTTCATGATCAGCACTAGTGAGGTCATCTGCATGACAAAAACCCTGCTGGCCCCTTCACCCCCCAAAGAAGATGTCCTGGCCTGAAACAATCTTTTCTCTTGTTTGCTAACAACTTCCTCCTTGCTCCTTCTGTACTTATGAAAACCTTCATTTGAACAACCCCTCAGAACATCTCTACTTGCTAGGTGGGATGCTGCCCAATTCATGAAGTGCTTAATGAAGCCAATTAGATCTTCAAATGTACTCTGTTGAATTTTGTTTTTTTTTTTTAATATTTTTATTTATTTCTAGGAGAGAGAGAGAGAAAGACAGCGTGAGCAGGGGAGGGTCAGAGAGAGAGGGAGACACAGACTGAAACAGGCTCCAGGCTCTGAGCTGGCAGTCAGCACAGAGCCCGACACGGGGCTCGAACCCAAGAACTGCGAGATCATGACCTAAGGGAAAGTCGGACGCTTAACCAACTAAGCCACCCAGGCGCCCCAATGTTGAATTTTGTTTTTAACGGGACCCACAGGACACCCAGAGCACTGAAGTCAGGGGCAAGAACAAGGACATGGATTTCTGTCAATCCTCACATGCTCTACAGTTAGGGTCCAGTTTGTTTTTGCTCTCCCACACACTTCACTCACCATCCTGTCACAAAGTGCTTGTCCCACGGACTTCTTCATGTCTGCTGCACACCAGACATGAAGACACCTTACTGACACTCCTTAACCTGCCCCTACACTGGCATAAAGGCAGAATCCCATAAGAAGTCCTTATATGTTCCATACGATCCAGCAATCCTGGATATATTATCTGCAGAGAGCAAGATAGTCACTCATGTCAAGCAGTGATGTAAGCATCCAAGGGTGTTGCACGTGAGACCAGATATCTTCGAAACCAGCACAGGCTGACAACACCCAAAACTGATAACCAGTAGAACCAAAGGAGGTCTGCAAAGGCCCAAGACTGATTAAACTCCAAAAGAGTTTTTAAAAAGGAGCTGCAGCAAACTGTCAGACTCTCCAGATGCTGCCCCTTTGGCATCTAACCGCATCAGAAAGGCAACTGTGTCCAAGGGCTCTGCCAGATTGATCTCTGAGCATAATACAGATCTTCCACTGCTTGAACATAATAGGCAGCAAGTGCCAAGAACTGACATGGATCAAATGGAGGCCTCGTCTCTGTGCGCCCACAGCCTGACTTCGAGTTTTGTTCATGAAATTCTTAACTCTTGTGTCTTGCTGGTTGTGTGATTCTGTCTTGTGCTTTGCTTGGCATGACGTATATGAAGCCAAGTTAAAGGCGTATGAAATGTCATTGAGTTTGGAATCCTGGACCAGCTTTACAATTACATTAACCTTGCTTTGTGACTGAATAAAGCTGACATTGTGGAAAGACAACTTGTGTGTGTGCCTTCATAGTGTGCTTGCGACAATATCCAAAGGAAACGGAATCAATATATTGAAGTGATAGTTGCACCCCTGTGTTCATTGCAGCATTATTAACGTAGCCAGGATATAGAAACAACATACATGCCCAACTAACGGGTGAGTAAAGAAGATTTATATATATATTTCATATATATTCAATATATGAAAAATTTCCCTTAAAATTGAAGGACACAAAAGTCCTCTTTATGACTGCCACTGTTCAACACTGTGCTATTGTCCATGTATATATATATATATATATATATATACACACACACATATATATATGAAATCAGAATAGCAAAAACATTAAAATCAAAACCTGGTACTTTGGAAAAAAATAATGGAGAAAGAAAGCCAAAAAACACACTACATTATGAGTGAAAAAATGAGGTAATCTTTTTTAAAAAGATTATTTATTTACTTACTTACTTACTTACTTACTTATAAGTAGAACTCATAACCCTGAGATCAAAACCTGAGCTGAGATCAAGAGTCAGACACTTAACTGATTGAGCCACCCAAGTGACCCAAAAGATTTTATTTTTAAGTAATCTCTATGCTCAACATGAGATTCAAACTCACAGCCCTGAGATCAAGAGTCACATGCTCTACTGACTAAGCCAGCCAGGCACCCCTGGGGTTGTCTTTTATCGGGGTGTAAAAGCCAGAAAAGAATACTGTGAACACACACCAACAATCTGAAAAATGAGACTGAATGGACAACCTTACAGAAAAAATATGATTAAAATGATACCAAAAGAAATACAGCACACGGATTAACCCTAAACCAATAAAGAAATGCAATTATTACTTAAAATGACCACATAAACAACCATATCAAATTACCAGGTCCAGAGGTTTTATGGTGAGTTCAATCAATCATGTAAGGATCAGAATTGAGCTTTCCTAGGAAACTGGATTTCCCAATTGATTTTGGGCAGCTACAATAATCTTGATTTAAAATTAGATAAGAAGAGGGATGTCTGGCTGGCTCAGTCAGTGGAGTGGGTGACTCTTGGTATCAGGGTTGTGGATTCGAGCCCCACATGGGGTGTAGAGATTATTTAAAAATAATAATAAAAGAAACCTAATAAGGAGAACATAAGTAAGAAAAATTACAGCCATATTTATTTATAAACATAGATGCAAATTCATAATTAAATGACTAGCAAACAAATATTCAAGCCAAGAAAGATTTAAAGAATATGGGACTTCAACTATACTCAAAAAATTATCTTTAAGGAAAGATAAAGAATTTGGGACTTACAGTTTTCTATTTCCCTCTTAGAAAAATTTCCCTTAAAATTGAAGGACACAAAAGTCCCCTTTATGACTGCCACTGTTCAACACTGTGCTATTGTCCAAGCCAGTGCCCCATGGGCCTCAATAAAGGACAAGAGCTGTGGAGATTGCAAAAGAACAGAAGCTATGAGAAACAGTAAACAAATTCTCAGTGAGGTTAGTAGACCCAGCTTCAGTTTAGGAATATTAATAGTGTTCCCAGATTCTAGCAACAAACAAAAGTGTAAAGGTAGATAAAGGCTACAATATCTCCCAAAAAGTTTACTAGAAGTGAACCTGACAAAATGTGTGAGACCTTTATTTTTAAAAAAAAGTACAAGATTCATTGAAAAAGTGAAAAGAAGACCTATATAAATTGAGGTGTATACCATGTTAATGGATAGAGACCTTCAATTGCCACAAAGATGTCTATGCTTCCTAAAAGTTAACCTTGATAACAGGATGTGTCATGGAACATGAAAATCTTGTCCATAAATTCATGTTGATCTATAAAAGGCCAGTACAATTTCAAATAATTTGAAGTTTGTTCATGTTGCTCTATTCTTTTTTCACTTACTTAGGTGAAATTCAGATAACTCAAAAAGAGACTGGACAGGTGGACACAGCACTGCACTTGTGACTGGATATCCTGTTTGTTTGCTCCATGGACTCTGGCTGTTCAGCAGGACCCTGCCCACCACAGGGGCCCTTAACTGAACCAGCCTTCAGAGCTGAACTTGACCTTGAGCCTGGGCCACGCAGCCAGTGACAGGTCACAGGGACCGAGGGGTTCACCAGCTGTAGATCAAAACAGACACTCTGGCTCTGCTTTCTGTTCCTTGAACCAGGAGCCCACTACAGCACCTCTGCCCCTCTTGTCAATCCTTCCAGAGACCTGCCTTTCAGTTCCACTTTCTCTAACTCACACAGGCACCAGGGTTCCTGAGAAGGGCCTGGGGCTCACTGAGGGAGCACCTGAATCTCTGGGAACCAGACATTGGTTGGAGAGAGACACTCGGAGTGAGTGTGGGGAGAGGGCCATGAGTAGCCAAATTCTTCATGGGGTCCTCAAAGAGCTGCATGTTGACTTCACCTCAGTTTACCTGGGCAGAGCAAAAGTGAGACAGCGCTCAAGGGGAACTACCTCCATGCTGGCATGGAAATGCCACCTATCAAGGCTGAGCCTTGTAATAAAGGGTAAAGAAGCACCCAAGGGAACTGCCTAAAGAGCTCAGGTGGGTGAGGTAGAATGAGGGTGCCTATCACTCCTTTGTCAGGATTGCACCCGAGACAGAGGGTGAGGACTCCCCACAGCCTCCACCTGAGATGCCAGCTTCCAATAGTTCCTCTAATTTGCATCCACTATGAATCTACTTCCCAGCTAATGTACCTTTGCTTCTTTTATTCCCACCGGGAAATCTCCATCCTGCTAAGGGCAGCAGTGATCTAGCTAACATCACTAACTTTCTGGGCCTCCCGTGAGGAAACAGTGAACACAAACTTGATCCTCCAACCTCCAGAAAGGCAGCAGCAGAGCCTGGAGACTCAGCTCTGAGTGTAAGGCAGCACTTGCCCCTCACATAGCAGTGTGATGACATCAGCCATCCTGTCCCTGAGCCATCAAAAGGAGTCCCGTCAGTCACAACTGTTATGGACTGAAAGACTGTGTCCTCCAGATTCACATGTTGAAGCCCTAAACTATGGGATGATGTTAAAGGTGGGATCTTTGGGGTGACTTGGTTTAGATGATATCAGGTTGGCGGGCCCCCGTGGGGGCATTAGTGTCCTTTTTAAATTTTTTTTAATGTTTATTTATTTGAGAAAGAGAGAGACAGAGACAGAAACAGAGACAGAGCATGAGCAGGGGAGGGGCAGAGATCGAGGGAGACACAGAATCCAAAGTAGGCTCCAGGCCCCAAGCTGTCAGCACAGAGCCCGATGTGGGCCTTGAGCCCACGAACCGTGAGATCATGACCTGAGTCAGCTGCTTAACCAACTGAGCCACCCAGGAGCCCTGAGTGTCCTTCTAAGAAAAGAGAGAACAAAGCTGTCCCTACATCTCCCTCTCTCTCCCTCTCTCCCTACCTCTCCAGATGTCCCTGCCGTCAATCTGCCAAATGAAGGCTGAGGGGACTTGCATAGAGGACAAACCACAGAATTAGACACTCCAAGCCCATCTGTGCCTTTACTACTGTGGCGTCAGGAGAAAACACAGGAGTCCCACATAAGGTACACACTGCATTCTCACTTCCATTCATCAACAAGCATGTGGAGACCAACACCGGGGCCCAGACTTGGGGCGCAGGGGTGATGGGGAGAGGGTTCACCCAACTCCTCAGAGAGCCTGCCCCTTCCAGATGCCTGCTTCCGTCCTGCTCTCTCCACCCAATCTGTCCCAACCCCCTCCGGCATCTTACTTTCTCTTTCCTTTTGCAAGAACTCAATCCTGCTGCTCAATGGGCCTGTCTCTTTCTGAGGGCGGCTGTGCCCTGGGGGAGGTCTCAGAGAAGGAGAGGGGAGTCTGAGCCTGAGGAAGTGCTGCCACCTGAGGGCTACCCTGAAAAAGGAGGTGGGGCTTCCGTGGAGGCGGCCTGGGAGGGCCCGGTCTCACTGAGGCTTTCCCAACGCAAGGCCGGCGAAAGCAATGGAGCCCTGGCGCCCCAGCCCAAGGTGCCACTGCTGTCTGCTCGCTCTGTCCGGCTGGGCCCCCTTCTGCAGCCCCTCCTTGCTGGCAGCCCTGCTGTGTGTGCCTCTGTCCCTGCCTCCTCCTCCCCGCAGTCCCCCTTCCCTTCTCTCCCTCTCTGGGCTCCTTCTCTGCAGGACCCACTCCTGTCTGGGTCCTCACCCTGCTCTGGGGATGCTCCTGTGTGTGCTCACTTCTGAACGCGCCCCTCCCGCACCTCCATCCAGCCCTGTGGCCCCTCCCCCAGGCCAGCCTCTGGGTCAGAAAGTCTTTTGGGCAGGTCTGGCCCTGCCTGTGTGTGTGGGGGAGGGGTGGGGGGTGATGATGCGCACTTTCAGAGGCTTCTGGAAGTTCCTGTGCTCTGCTAAGCTCTTTGAATCAAACCACAAGATGGTTGAAGCAATTGGCGGATTTAGTTTCCAGCACTTGGATGGATTTTCTCTAATATTTATGATGTGGGTTGAAGTGTTGGGGTTTGGAACCCCCCAAGAAAGAATTCTTAGACATCTCTGGTGCAAAAAAAAAAAATAAATGTCAAAAAGAAAGGTGTTTTATTAAAGCACGGGGACAGGACCCGTGGACAGGAAGAGCCTCACAGGGGTTGTGAAGAGTGACTCATTATATACCCTCCGTTTGGGAGGGGGCTAGAGACAGCACATGTGTCGAAGGTATTTCAGAAACAGGGTTTCCGGGCCTTTGAAGGTCTAGTGGCTCTTACGACAAGCTTATTTATTACCATTCAGTAGAAACTCAGTCACGAGACCCTTCACATGTGTATCAGTCAGCCACGTGTTTGGAGGATGATTGCCAACATATATCTTGGGGGGTTGAGATAAAGGAGGTTCCCAAAGGAATTTTTATATGGTAAAGTAGCCTTCACAGGTCGTATGGTTTGGGATAATGTTAAGCTAAGAATCCCTTTGGCTCTTAGCAAAGTGTCATCATACAGATATCTGGGCTCTCAAAGGAAGTTCGTTCTGCCTGTGCGAAAGACTTCTCGACGGGCTGTAGGCAGTAGAGAAATTGAATTTCTTTTTCTTTTGCTTTATTTCCCACATCATTTACAATATGATAAACACAGGGTGAGGACAGCTCTCAGAGATAAGAAGAGAAGTCATCTGCTGCAAAGCTCTCTCAACCACCGACAAGTGTAGTAAAACCTTGGTTTGGGAGCACAATTTGTTCCAGAAACATGCTCCTAATCCAAAGCACTTGTATATCAAAGTGAGTTTCCCCGTAAGAAATAATGGAAACTCAGACGATTCGTTCCACAACCCAAAGTATTCATATGAAAATGATTACAAAACTGTAATATAATACAACATAATAAAGAAAATACAAAAGAAAAGGAAAAAGAAACCTATTAACCTGCACTTACCTTTGAAAACCTTCATGGCTGGAGTGAGGGAGACAAGAGACAGGAGAGTTACTGTGTAGGACAATTTTCCCTATTACTAATGGATGTAGACTACAGTAGAGTATTAATAAACCCTTGTCATATACTGTAATTAATGCAACTGGCAATCAGGCAGCAGAGGAAAGGGTCTCTGTCTGCCGGCAGCCTGACTTAGAATAAAACAAAGCCTTCCCAAGCTTACTCTTGTCTGGAAAAGCATGGGACTGTCCACAGGTGCTTTGAAAAGACAAAAAATACACTAGTGCCAGTTGTGGGTACCTTGCAACATACTGAAAAATCACTGATATCTGCCAAACACCACGATCTGAGACCGAGCATCTGAGTGTGGGAGATGATCACCCACAATCCCGCAGCGATAGAGAGAGAGAGAGAGAGAGAGAGAGAAGGAAAGAGAGAAGAACCATGGATTCCATTGTGATCGTGTGATCATGTGACATTCAGAATCACGTACTCTACGTATCCCAAGACATCGCTCCTTTATCAAGTTAAAATTTATGAAACATGTTTGCTCGTCTATAGAACACTCGCAGAACAAGTTACTCGCCATCCAAGGTTTTAGTGTAAATGGGGGTGTTCTCAACCTTACCCACAAGCTAGGTGATAGAGCTTCAGTGCACGTTTGTGACGACTGCTGGCATGCATCAGGATGAAAGGTGCCTTGCCTGCGGGTGTATATATGTGTGTATTTAAAATGTGTGTATTTAAAACGAAGTAGAAAGAAAGACACATTTAAGACTGCACGTGCTGCTGTGGCGGTCATGTGAGGTCCTTGCTGGAAATAACCTGTCTGGACAGGTGCCCAAGCTCCATCACTTACTAGCCATGGACTTGNGTGATGACATCAGCCATCCTGTCCCTGAGCCATCAAAAGGAGTCCCGTCAGTCACAACTGTTATGGACTGAAAGACTGTGTCCTCCAGATTCACATGTTGAAGCCCTAAACTATGGGATGATGTTAAAGGTGGGATCTTTGGGGTGACTTGGTTTAGATGATATCAGGTTGGCGGGCCCCCGTGGGGGCATTAGTGTCCTTTTTAAATTTTTTTTAATGTTTATTTATTTGAGAAAGAGAGAGACAGAGACAGAAACAGAGACAGAGCATGAGCAGGGGAGGGGCAGAGATCGAGGGAGACACAGAATCCAAAGTAGGCTCCAGGCCCCAAGCTGTCAGCACAGAGCCCGATGTGGGCCTTGAGCCCACGAACCGTGAGATCATGACCTGAGTCAGCTGCTTAACCAACTGAGCCACCCAGGAGCCCTGAGTGTCCTTCTAAGAAAAGAGAGAACAAAGCTGTCCCTACATCTCCCTCTCTCTCCCTCTCTCCCTACCTCTCCAGATGTCCCTGCCGTCAATCTGCCAAATGAAGGCTGAGGGGACTTGCATAGAGGACAAACCACAGAATTAGACACTCCAAGCCCATCTGTGCCTTTACTACTGTGGCGTCAGGAGAAAACACAGGAGTCCCACATAAGGTACACACTGCATTCTCACTTCCATTCATCAACAAGCATGTGGAGACCAACACCGGGGCCCAGACTTGGGGCGCAGGGGTGATGGGGAGAGGGTTCACCCAACTCCTCAGAGAGCCTGCCCCTTCCAGATGCCTGCTTCCGTCCTGCTCTCTCCACCCAATCTGTCCCAACCCCCTCCGGCATCTTACTTTCTCTTTCCTTTTGCAAGAACTCAATCCTGCTGCTCAATGGGCCTGTCTCTTTCTGAGGGCGGCTGTGCCCTGGGGGAGGTCTCAGAGAAGGAGAGGGGAGTCTGAGCCTGAGGAAGTGCTGCCACCTGAGGGCTACCCTGAAAAAGGAGGTGGGGCTTCCGTGGAGGCGGCCTGGGAGGGCCCGGTCTCACTGAGGCTTTCCCAACGCAAGGCCGGCGAAAGCAATGGAGCCCTGGCGCCCCAGCCCAAGGTGCCACTGCTGTCTGCTCGCTCTGTCCGGCTGGGCCCCCTTCTGCAGCCCCTCCTTGCTGGCAGCCCTGCTGTGTGTGCCTCTGTCCCTGCCTCCTCCTCCCCGCAGTCCCCCTTCCCTTCTCTCCCTCTCTGGGCTCCTTCTCTGCAGGACCCACTCCTGTCTGGGTCCTCACCCTGCTCTGGGGATGCTCCTGTGTGTGCTCACTTCTGAACGCGCCCCTCCCGCACCTCCATCCAGCCCTGTGGCCCCTCCCCCAGGCCAGCCTCTGGGTCAGAAAGTCTTTTGGGCAGGTCTGGCCCTGCCTGTGTGTGTGGGGGAGGGGTGGGGGGTGATGATGCGCACTTTCAGAGGCTTCTGGAAGTTCCTGTGCTCTGCTAAGCTCTTTGAATCAAACCACAAGATGGTTGAAGCAATTGGCGGATTTAGTTTCCAGCACTTGGATGGATTTTCTCTAATATTTATGATGTGGGTTGAAGTGTTGGGGTTTGGAACCCCCCAAGAAAGAATTCTTAGACATCTCTGGTGCAAAAAAAAAAAAAAAAAAAAAAGGCGGTGTATTTAAAGCATGGGAACAGGACCAGTGGGCAGGAAGACCCACACTGCGGTTGTAAAGAGTGACTGATTATAAGGGGATAGGGACAACATAAATCTCTGACATATTTTGGAAACAAGGTGTTCAGGACCTTGAGGGTCTAGGTCTTGTTAGGATAAGGTCATTTAATACTGTTCAGTAAAAACAAAGTCATGACGGGCTCCTGGGTTGCTCAGCCGGTTGAGCATCCAACGTTGGCTCCGGTCCTAATCTCACCGTTTGTGGGTTCCAGCCCCACATTGGGCTCTGTGGTGACAGCTCAAAGCCTGGAGCCTGCTTCAGATTCTGTGTCTCTCTCTCATTCTGCCCATCCACCGCTCATGCTCTGTCTACCTCGGTCTCTCAAAATTAATTAAATTTTAAAAATAAAAAAAATATTAATTGAACAGAACTTTTCAAATAGCTATTCTTTTGGGATAAAGGGGTTTCGATGTCTCTCTGCTATTTTTCTAATGGGTTGGGGGTAGCGCGGGCAGGAAAACGAGAGTGGTGGTGCTGCTGGAAGGAGCAGGGGCCCAGCGGCCCTTAGGGGAGGCGGTCCCTGTCTCTACTGTCCCCGGCGACACCCCCCTTCCAGCCTGGAAAAGCAGCGCCACTGCCTAGGGCCCAAGAGGGCTGCAGGGAGCCACAGTGCCCAGGGCAGCCCACCAGCCAGAGACAAGTCCAGAGGGCGCTCTCGGCATTTTCTGCTTTCTCTCTTTTGCCCCCAGAAACCCAATGGACTGGATAGATCCTAACACCTTCCGGTTCCAATTTGCAAACCTGCGCTATGCTTATGAATGGAAACTCTGCTATCTCTGCTTCCAAGTGGACAGAGAAGACTTCTCATATGATGACAGTAACTGGGGAATTTTTCGGAACAAGGTACGCACACCCTCTCCCCGGGCCCAGTCAGACAGGAGCAGAGTCAGGGGGAGCGAGANAGCCCAAGGTGCCACTGCTGTCTGCTCGCTCTGTCCGGCTGGGCCCCCTTCTGCAGCCCCTCCTTGCTGGCAGCCCTGCTGTGTGTGCCTCTGTCCCTGCCTCCTCCTCCCCGCAGTCCCCCTTCCCTTCTCTCCCTCTCTGGGCTCCTTCTCTGCAGGACCCACTCCTGTCTGGGTCCTCACCCTGCTCTGGGGATGCTCCTGTGTGTGCTCACTTCTGAACGCGCCCCTCCCGCACCTCCATCCAGCCCTGTGGCCCCTCCCCCAGGCCAGCCTCTGGGTCGGAAAGACTGTTGGGCAGGTCTGGCCCTGCCTGTGTGTGTGTGTGTGTGTGGGGTGGGGGGGTGATGATGCGCACTTTCAGAGGCTTCTGGAAGTTCCTGTTCTCTGCTAGCACTTTGAATCAAACCACAAGATGGTTGAAGCAATTGGCGGATTTAGTTTCCAGCACTTGGATGGATTTTCTCTAATATTTATGATGTGGGTTGAAGTGTTGGGGTTTGGAACCCCCCAAGAAAGAATTCTTAGACATCTCTGGTGCAAAAAAAAAAAATAAATGTCAAAAAGAAAGGTGTTTTATTAAAGCACGGGGACAGGACCCGTGGACAGGAAGAGCCTCACAGGGGTTGTGAAGAGTGACTCATTATATACCCTCCGTTTGGGAGGGGGCTAGAGACAGCACATGTGTCGAAGGTATTTCAGAAACAGGGTTTCCGGGCCTTTGAAGGTCTAGTGGCTCTTACGACAAGCTTATTTATTACCATTCAGTAGAAACTCAGTCACGAGACCCTTCACATGTGTATCAGTCAGCCACGTGTTTGGAGGATGATTGCCAACATATATCTTGGGGGGTTGAGATAAAGGAGGTTCCCAAAGGAATTTTTATATGGTAAAGTAGCCTTCACAGGTCGTATGGTTTGGGATAATGTTAAGCTAAGAATCCCTTTGGCTCTTAGCAAAGTGTCATCATACAGATATCTGGGCTCTCAAAGGAAGTTCGTTCTGCCTGTGCGAAAGACTTCTCGACGGGCTGTAGGCAGTAGAGAAATTGAATTTCTTTTTCTTTTGCTTTATTTCCCACATCATTTACAATATGATAAACACAGGGTGAGGACAGCTCTCAGAGATAAGAAGAGAAGTCATCTGCTGCAAAGCTCTCTCAACCACCGACAAGTGTAGTAAAACCTTGGTTTGGGAGCACAATTTGTTCCAGAAACATGCTCCTAATCCAAAGCACTTGTATATCAAAGTGAGTTTCCCCGTAAGAAATAATGGAAACTCAGACGATTCGTTCCACAACCCAAAGTATTCATATGAAAATGATTACAAAACTGTAATATAATACAACATAATAAAGAAAATACAAAAGAAAAGGAAAAAGAAACCTATTAACCTGCACTTACCTTTGAAAACCTTCATGGCTGGAGTGAGGGAGACAAGAGACAGGAGAGTTACTGTGTAGGACAATTTTCCCTATTACTAATGGATGTAGACTACAGTAGAGTATTAATAAACCCTTGTCATATACTGTAATTAATGCAACTGGCAATCAGGCAGCAGAGGAAAGGGTCTCTGTCTGCCGGCAGCCTGACTTAGAATAAAACAAAGCCTTCCCAAGCTTACTCTTGTCTGGAAAAGCATGGGACTGTCCACAGGTGCTTTGAAAAGACAAAAAATACACTAGTGCCAGTTGTGGGTACCTTGCAACATACTGAAAAATCACTGATATCTGCCAAACACCACGATCTGAGACCGAGCATCTGAGTGTGGGAGATGATCACCCACAATCCCGCAGCGATAGAGAGAGAGAGAGAGAGAGAGAGAGAAGGAAAGAGAGAAGAACCATGGATTCCATTGTGATCGTGTGATCATGTGACATTCAGAATCACGTACTCTACGTATCCCAAGACATCGCTCCTTTATCAAGTTAAAATTTATGAAACATGTTTGCTCGTCTATAGAACACTCGCAGAACAAGTTACTCGCCATCCAAGGTTTTAGTGTAAATGGGGGTGTTCTCAACCTTACCCACAAGCTAGGTGATAGAGCTTCAGTGCACGTTTGTGACGACTGCTGGCATGCATCAGGATGAAAGGTGCCTTGCCTGCGGGTGTATATATGTGTGTATTTAAAATGTGTGTATTTAAAACGAAGTAGAAAGAAAGACACATTTAAGACTGCACGTGCTGCTGTGGCGGTCATGTGAGGTCCTTGCTGGAAATAACCTGTCTGGACAGGTGCCCAAGCTCCATCACTTACTAGCCATGGACTTGGCCAGGCTGCTCACCTGCTTCCGTCCCTATGAAGTGTGGATGTAGCTCCCCCAGGATCTGGGAAGGAGTTGATGAGTTAAGATATCTGAAGCATTAGGAACAGCAGCCTGAACTTCTGAATTTAAGCATTAACCTGATACTTAAAAAAAAAAAAAGGGTGAAAAATCAGGAATGAATTAAAGTGAAGTCTTCAAAAGGCCGTTCTTCAGGGATTAGAAGGGTTTCGATGTCTCTCTGCTATTTTTCTAATGGGTTGGGGGTAGCGCGGGCAGGAAAACGAGAGTGGGGGTGCTGCTGGAAGGAGCAGGGGCCCAGCGGCCCTTAGGAGAGGTGGTCCCTGTCCCTACTGTCCCTGGAGACACCCCCCTTCCAGCCTGGAAAAGCAGCACCACTGCCTAGGGCCCAGGAGGGCTGCAGGGAGCCACAGTGCCCAGGGCAGCCCACCAGCCAGAGACAAGTCCAGAGGGCGCTCTCGGCATTTTCTGTTTTCTCTCTTTTGCCCCCAGAAACCCAATGGGCTGGATACATCCTAACACCTTCCAGTTCCACTTTCCAAACCTTTGCTACGCTTCTGGACGGAAACTCTGCTATCTCTGCTTCCAAGTGGACAGAGAAGACTTCACATATGATGACAGTAACTGGGGAATTTTTCGGAACAAGGTACGCACACCCTCTCCCCGGGCCCAGTCAGACAGGAGCAGAGTCAGGGGGAGCGAGAAAAAGAATGTTACAAGTAAGATGCCAGATCGGAGCTCTTAGTGGTGACTGCTCCTTCCCACGACATTGTCCTCAGTCATGGACCCATGAGCTCCCTGCTTGACCCTCTGGGAACCTGAGACAGGACAGCATTTGACTTATCCGACGAGCCTTGTTCAGAGAGTCTGCTGGCATTCTGTCCGTCATCTTGAAATCTTGTCCTGGACCTTGGCCTCTGGCAGTCTTGGACGGAAGAGCATCTTTAGAAGGTCAGGGCCCGTTGGACAGCATCGCCTTATGTGCCCTGGTAATGGGTCTGTCGGTGAAGCCGTACCCTGGCAGCGCCACTGACCCCTCTGTGCCCAGGACTCTGATCCCCCAGCGGAGAACCCACACCCCTCGCTCTGCCTGACCCTGGCCTGCTCCCAGCCAAGGCCCAGGTGTCCCTGGAAGGAGGCAACAGCACCAAAGACCAGCATCAGCAGTTGCTAGAGCCAGGCCACCACCCTGCAGCCCTGTCCCCTAACCGCTGACACTCCAGACACATGTCCTGCCACACCCTGGCCTCTCCCCTCCCCTGGCCCTGCAGACTTCTCAGAGCCCATTGCCAGGAGAGAACCACGATGGGCTAGGGCAGGGGTATGTGTTAGCAGTACTGACACGTGAAAGGTCATTTCACCTGTTCTGGTACCCGGGGCTCAAAGAGTTAAAGGCAATTTGTGAAATTAGTACTGCTAATGTATCAAGCACTATATCTAGGAGATTCTTTCAGATTACAATGAATATAAAAATTCTTCCTGAGGTCATTTACATTCTCCTCTTTTACTACGTCGTTGGACCCAGATGTGTATTTACACTTGCCCCACATCTCAGTTCCCACGAGCCTCAGGTCAAGTGGTCCAGAGACACGTGTGGTTAGTGGCTCCCCTGTGGGGCAGCACAGTTGTGTGACCCTCCCCAGGTGCCATCACCCAGGGAACCATCCTAGACCCCTGAGGCCCTGGCCCAGGGAAGGCCCTCAGAATGCCTGTAGGATGTATGTATGGATGGATGGATGCATGGATAAATGGATGGATGGATGAATGATAAAATGGATGGATGGAAGGAGAGATGTTAGAACTGATGGATGGTGGATGACTGTGAAAAGCGATGGCTCAGTAAAAAAGACAGGGCAGGGAGAGATGGAAATGAGGGATAAATCAGTGAACAATATACCCCTGTGGGTCCTGCCCCTTTGCCCCTCCTCCCATGGCACCCAGCCCTGACACTCTGCCTACCCTGACAGCCAGGTGTGTCCCCTTGTGTTCTCTACTTCTCCCAGGTCCATCCCCGGGTTCCCTGTCACGCAGAACTCTGCTTCCTCTCTTGGTTCCGTGACCAGTACCCATCCCGTGATGAGCATTACCATGTCACCTGGTTCTTATCTTGGAGCCCCTGCCCCACCTGTGCAGAGAAGGTGGTCAGGTTCTTGGAGGAGTACAAGAACTTGAAACTGAGCATCTTTACCGCCCGCCTCTACTACTTCTGGCACGAAGATTTCCAGGAGGGGCTTCGCAACCTACGGGACATAGGGGTCCAGTTGGACATAATGCGCTGTGATGGTGAGAACAGAGGGGAGCTGGGGACTGAACCTTGGGAGAGAGTAAGATCCAGGCGGGTGGGGCAGGGAATCTAGAATGTCCCCAGGGAGAACGAGTGGGAGGAGAGCCTGGGAAACTGAGGCAAGACTGGTGGCACTTGGAAGGGAAGAGACCAGACCCTGAAGGGGGTGGGGCATGGGAGGGTCAGGAGGAAAAGGCCTCCCAGGACCCACCTGACTGCTGTCTTCCTATTTATCTCAGATTTTGAATACTGTTGGGACACCTTTGTTGACCACAATGGGATGCGCTTCCAGAGATGGAATATGTTAAAAGATTATGATCTCTTGGTCACAGAGCTTGATGAAATCCTTAGGTGAGGACGTCCTCAGCCTCCCATCCTCTCCCCGGCAGCTACTGCTGTTTCTCCCCAACTCGTGCCACCTGCACCTCCCCCCCTCCTACCCGCCCAGCGCCTCAGGTCCCCACCTTCCTCCTGCACATCCCATCTCACCCACTAACCAATCTTGTTCATAAACTGAATGTAACTGGGCATGATTATGTGTAGCTGTGAAAATTGGAAGATGTGAGTAACATCCTTACTGGGGAGGTGACTCATCAGAGAACAGGGTCCTTGAGGAGACCGACTGCATTTCTCTGCTGGGGCTTCCAGAACAAAACTCCACAGACCGAGGGACATCACAGCAAGTGTTTGTTTCCTCACAGCGTAGAGACTGGAAGGCCAAGAGCAAGTTGTCCCTGGGTTGGGCTCCTCCTAGGGCCCGTCTGCTTGGCTAGCAGAGGCCACCTTCTTGCCCCGCCCTCGCATGGGCCGTCCTCTGTGCTCACTGAGGGGGGCCCCCGGTGTCCCTCCGTGGGTCCCACTTTCCCCTTCTCATAACAACATCAGGCCGATTGGATCAGGCCCACTCTGTGGGCCTCATTTTAATCTTTTTAAAGCCCGTGTCTCAAACATAGTCACATTCTGGGTCACTAGGGGTTGGGACTTTGGCAGATGGATATGGGGGGCACAGCGTTCAGCCATTGGGGGCTAAGGGGGTGGGACAAAACAGGATGCTTGTTTTTGTATCTGTCTCCTGGGTTCTGCCTGCCCTGCCCCTGACTCACCCGCTTCCATTCCAGTCCTTGCTGCCCTGCACCCCACTACCTGTCACCAGGTCATCACCATACTCTCCCTGGCTCCCTTGTCCCTTCTCCCCTTCCCATATGGCTGCCAGAGGGAAGGTTCTGGACAGGTTACAGTCTGGGGATGGTGATGAACAGTGAGCAAGAAGTTAATGATTAAGTTAACATTTAAATGTGTTTTATTTTTTTAAATGTAGGATTGGGTATGGGAGGACTCTTCCAAAAAGCAATAAAAAAGTAGCAAGTGGCTGAGAGTCAAGTTGGGGACGCAGGGAAACAAGCAGAAGCATTAGAAGTAAAAAACAAAAAACAAAAAAAAAACCCCAAAACAGCAAAAAACAAAAAGCCTAGAAACAGAAACTGAAAGAGAAGCAGAGAAAACATCTGGTCCTTCAACCCAGAGATGACTACTGAGTCAACTTATTGGGGGAAAAGTCAGTGGCAGTGCCCCACGGGGTGGCCTGGACCAGGGCCAGGGCAGATCAGCCTGAGATGCTGGGATTCTGGGCAGACACTGGGATTCAGAGGCCGAGGAAGGAAACACAGGAGGGCCAAATCATTGTGGAGAGAGTCTTGGGTCCCACACGGACCCGTGTTCTCTTCCTCTGATCTTGCCCCATTAGGTGTGAATAGCGGTGGCCACACACACTTGTCTCTCCCCTCCCCTCCCTGTCTGCACTGCATCCTGAGGCGGAGGGCAGAATGCTGAAGAGTGCTGTCATTAGGGAAAGGCAAGAAAGGGTTTCAGGCTTGCCACCCACTCTTAGTGCTTCTCAACTGTCTATTGGACCCACACCTGCGTGTGCAGATCTGATCATTCCGGAAGCTTCCATTGGCCAAAACTCTGGACACTCAAACAGATGGGAGTGGAGGGGACGCCATTCCCTTGCATTCTCCCACTCTTGCCCATGCTCTTGTTACCCCCCCCCTCCCTTGGGGCCATCCCAGGGCCTGGGGGCAGAATGAGGTGGTATGGGGGCACCGGCTGGAAGAAGGTCTTTGGAGACTCGCAGGCGTGTGCGGCGACAGGTGCCTGCTTGAAGGCCTCCTCTTCTTCTCCAGGAGTCAACTTTCCCAG